CAGGGTGATTTGCAACCCCACCTTGATTTTAATTCTTTGGTATCTGTGATGTTTTCCTTCCCAATACGGCAGCTTAACATGGTTATTGTGATATTTTTTATTGTTTTTTATACTTTTTTGGTTTTCATGGACTGCATATCATCTAAAGTGTGTCTGCTTCTTTTTTGCTGAACACAGCCTGTAAATCCCTGTAGGGTTCAGGAATGTCTTTAAGGGACTCTGGGTCCAACTCTAGGGCTTTGTTCATGCTGCAAGCTGTTGCTGCAGTTTCCGTTCTTCCTGACTGCTCAGGTCCCAAATAAATTCCATCTGCAAATTGCAACTGCCCCGTCTTCCAAAAAACACGAGGATCCCACTTTTTCACCCAGTTCGCTCCGAGAATCAGGGTGTAATTCCCTAAAGGAGCCACTAAGCATTTAAGAGTCTCTTTGTGGGTCCCCACTTGCAGCTGGAAAGGCTCCGTACGATACAGCACTGCTCCTCCCCCCCCTTATGGCAGGTCAAGCAAACGGTTAGAATAACATTCCCAGCATTACTCTATTAATCTATGTTTAGCAATTAAAGCAAAAGTATAATTAGTAATTAAAACACATGAAACAATCGAACCTCCTCTCAATTTATATTCTAGAAGGGAACTGAATGGGAGAAATTTGGGGGGTAAAAATAGGAGGGCAGGCCTGAGGAAGGGTTGGATCCTAACCTAAGAAAACCTTCATCTGTCAGGGTGACAGGATTGGGAAAAGATTTAGTGCCAGAAAGGTAAAAATTCATACATACACATATTTGAATTAACTGAACCTGTTTACAATCCATTTTAAGGTTTTTCATAAAAGTCAGTTTGCTTAAATATTATCTTCCCCATGTTCCAACTAGTCACATTAGCCCATAATGCATAACAAAATAAAGAATAAGAAAAGAATCTCTAAATCAGAAAAGGTTTTAGTGATGGCAGCAAGACAAACAGACCTCGTAAAGATCTTGCAGAGAGTTTACAGGACTTCTTTTAATATTAAAGAACAAAAAAGATTTAAAAAGGGAATACTGACAACCAGGAGGATATGTGACACAAAATAACTTTAAAAACCTAGCAGGTTTGCAGCTACATCCAGTATTATGCAGATTAACATATAACCTCTTCCAACGGGACTCTCCTTTGCTTAACACTCTGCCACATGGCCCTAAGTGGCCATGAAACCTCTTCCCCAAACCACCTGGAAGACATTGTGAATGCACAGGATAAAAGTGGAGAAACAATTCTACTGTTTCCCTAGTAGAATTGATACCATTAATCAAATAAAATCAAAATGTACACTTTTTGGTATGCAGTTCTAGTGGTAACCAGAATTAGGTATAGCTGTACTGTAATGGCACCCTGTGGTCTGGCTTGGGATTGAAAGTAATTTTTCTGATGTTTACCAAAATAACAGAAGTCATGCCTTTTCTCTTAAATGTCTAGTTCTACCATTCTTCCATTCCTCAGGAGGAAGCTTCTCCTACTCATGACACTGCAAGCCTTTTGTGGATGCCAAGGGAAGTGGAAATTGCCACCAGTGGCTTCAGTGAGGAAAACCGAATTAGTGAAGGCATGTTTGCTACTACTTACAGAGGTCAGAGAGAGAATACTCGCTATGTTGTTAAAAAGCTAAAAGAGGTAGGTGTCTTTCTTCATTTATCTCATAAATTGAACAAAATTAGAAAGGCATGTGCAAAGCTGGTTAACAGTAGGGGTGCCACTGAATCCCTTTATTGGATTCCTGACACTGCCACTCCCATCCTTAGCACTGTGTCTTTGGAGGAAGATTCTTGGGGGACATCTCCCAAACTCTGGAAAAGCTCTGGACAATTTCACAAGGCATCTCCCATTTATCTGTCATGAACCCAGACTGGCTGAGTCAGAGCCAAACCTAGCAAGAGAGGGCAACTGAAAAAATCTGGATCCCCCAGTTATTGTTAGGAGTTCTGATAAATTTGGTGGGCTTGGATTATTATATGGTGTTACTTTTTCTAAGCTAGAACCAAACAGTGTTAGATGTTGAACCTATCTATGTTGGTGAGAGAAAGATATGAAAGCCTTGTCATTACTCACTTTTTAGCCATCTTTTCTACTAAGTGATAAAAATTATTTATAGCAAATTTCATACAATACAAATATAGAATAGAATTAACTTCCCACTTAAATCAGTAAAACAATCTGGTTTAAAATAGCAGAATTAAAAACACAGAAGCAAAAAAGAACTTCTCTCTGAAAAGTATATTATTGAAAAAGCAAGTATAATAATATAAAGGGATTTCATTCTACCCAGGTAAACAGAATTAGTGAAATGCAATGTATGAGCATGTTGGCAGAGATTTCTTGGAATATAGCAGAATAAGCATACTGGCCTCACCTTCTCCAATCCTGATTGCCATTTTGAGTACAATAGATCTTTAATTACCTGTTTAACAAAATGGCCAGTATATACTGTATATAGTATGTGTAAGTATGCACTTGCTGTTCAGAAAAATAATAGGAGTCTCTTTATTCCAGAATGAGACACAAATATTTTTTCGTACAGAAGTACAAATCTGCTTTCGGTAAGTAGCTGGGCAATTGTTACGGTGGGGAAAAGCAGCAGATAACAGTGTTAGTTTACCTTGTGAGCCTTAGCATTACTTTCTGTTGAACTGTTTCTCTTATGTTTGATATTAAAGTTATGGGCTTTTACTAATAATTTAAATTAAAACATGGGAGAGTGTGGTGATGTTATTCCTAACCCAATATATAGTCCTGAGGACAATTTACATTATCATTTTATCCTATTGCTGTAATGTCTAGCTTTCTCATGTACATCTGACACTCTCCCCAACTCATTCTTCTTTTCTTGTCCTTATATCCTAGATTTATTCAGATTACTTATATTATTTTTTTCAGTCCTTTATGGAGAAGATACCAACATAAGTTGGTGTTGCTAACTTTGCAGTATTATAATGGTTTGGAAATTTTATACAGGTAGTCCTCACTTAATGACCCTTATTGGGACCAGTAACTCCATCGCTAAGTGGCACGGTCATAAAGCAAAATATCATATGACTGCCCCACTTAGTGACAGCAGTTCTGGCAGTCGCAGTTACTGTCATTGAGCAAATCCCATGTGGTGGTTAGGCAAGGACCCATCCAGATCCAATCCATTCTTGAAAGAAGGTAAGGGACTGCCTCTACTTCAGCTCCTTCCACCCACCTCCCGTTATCTCTGCCTTTTTGGCCACCTGTCTACCCACCATTGGCTATGCCTGCTGCACTGTGTGCCACTACCGGCCAGGGCCTTCTTTCACACATTGGCTGGGTACTTCTTTTGTGAAAGAAGATCCCGGCTGGAAAATGAAAGAAGACCAGCATAAAAGAAGGCCCTGGCTGCACCAGTGCAAAAGAAGGCCCTGGCCGGTAGTGGCGTGTGGCACGGCACACACCCACCCATACTCCCTAGCACCCACCCATAGCACCCAGCAGCCTGTGAGATGTTTCCATGGTGCCTCCCCCACGTGTGGCCAGGATGGTGAGCCCAGTGGACGGGAGGCAGGTGAAGACAATGACAAAGGTCAGCTTGGGGTGGGTGGCAGTGGCAGTGGTTGTATATGTGGGCGGGCCTGCATTTTGTTCATGTGGCCACAGGGGTGCTGCAACAGCCAGAACTTCAAGGGCTTGTCATAAGTCCATTTTTTCAGTGCTGTTGTAACTTCAAACGGTCACTGAATGAATGGACATTAAACAAGGACTATTGTATGTCTGTTTCTTTTACTCTGTTAATGTTTTGTTACATTACATTCTTGCTACCTTAGCTTTAATAAAAGTCTGTTCTCACTGCGAATCTTTTGAGGTTGAGTGGCCATTGTACCAATCTCATTCATTTTTTCCTTCCCAGTCCAGTCAAATGAGGTAGATTTTAAATAATGCAGATCCTCTTCAAAACATATTACTAACTTAAGGTGTATATCAGAGAGCCCAGAATGTTGATGGATCATGGGGAGGCCCTTGCACTCTAAATGACCTCAAAAAAATAATTTTGGGGTTAGTTAAGGGCAACTGCACCTCAAGGTTCCGATACAGATAGATAAACAAACACAAATGCCAATATTTCCTTAGTTACATTTTACCTTTTTCCAGAGTCAAATTTCAACCACCAGGATTTTTTTGAGCTCTAAATCCAAGCTCCTGGAATTTTCCTGGTCTGCTTTCTTGCCTGACCAAAAACTGTTAGTAATCTTTGGCTTCTTATAAGCCTGAGATCTTTAAACCTTAAATTTAAAATGCTGGTTCCTGTTACTAAGCTTGCTTAAATATTTATACTGCAAAAAAGAATTGTTCTCCAAATTTACCAGGAAAATTGCCTGGAATCCTTATGAAATACAGCCTCCTGTCAACTGAAAGGAAAAAAAAAAAAGGTGTCTCTTTAATTTAGTGGCCACACAAGAGCAGAAATTTGCTAGATACAATAAAACTTCCCGTTTGTGTAACAGGCAAATCCCTAAATGTAGCACAGCAATGAAAGGAAAAAGTAAAACAAGGGAAAATGAGAAATTGATTTTCTTTTTAAAGCTACAGTAAACAAAAATGTAGTGGAATAAAAGATAGAGAATTATATAATTTCCACAACAGAAGTGCTTCCTAATGAGAATTACTTTAGCCTGTAGAATTAGAAAGTGCACTTTTAATCCAAGGAGAATTCTTAATTTAGTTACAGATTTGTGATGGAATGTCTAACGGACCCTGAGAACATAGAGGAGGGAGCAAGACTATTACAAGAGAAAGGAGGGCCGTTATAGAAGAGACTCTTGAGTCTAGGGGAGGGGAAAACACAAGAGACCTTAATTATGCTAGGTGTAAGTTGATCTGGAGAACTGCTTTGGCAGGCTTGCTAGATTCTGTTACAGTACCCTACTTTTTATTTTTTATTGTTTAAATCAGGGGCACCTGCAAGGTGAGAAAAAAAATCAAGATGGCAGCCATGACAGCAGTTAAAGCCCTGCCTCCTGTTTGTATGTGCAACACGTGCAGTGCGTGAGAGATGGGACATGATTAGGCTGTCGTCATGACTTTTATACCATTTCCCCTCCCCTGGTTAAAACAGTGAAATGCAAAATAAAAAAGTTCACATTAAATAGTGTTAACAGAGTGAAAAAAAAGTTAACATTAGAATTAAACAATCAAAAAAGCAATTTAATAAACATCCATATGAAAAGTAGACATACCTGTTGCCTCTTTCTCAGCAAGGCTACCTATCCTTTAGTATTATGCTTCACTTTGATTCCTGGGCTTTGACTCTGTTTATTCAGCCTCTTCCTCATGAGGCCTGTGGCTGAGCTCCCAGGTAGCCATCTTCTCTTCCTTCCTCCCCAATGATGTTGTTTGATTGGCAGCTGCTGTTTAATTGGCAGCTGGGTCATCCTGACAATGAGGGAGGGCTGAGAAGGGAGGGGCAGGGAGGAGCACCTGTGGTTATAATCTGCCCAGGCAGTCTGTCCTTCCACAGACAGACTCCCTGGGCAGATTATAGAGTTCCTTAAATATAGTATTTCCTTACAGAATTATAGTAAAACATGTTAATTTGAATTCAGAAGGAAGCTATAACACAACAAGACCAAGTAATGTGAATTAAAGAACCTTCACATTTCTTTCATCGCCAACATAAGAAGTCTAAAGTTCATCCTTTTTTAAACATTCTTTGCTACATTAAGCTCCTAGTAATAAAAATCTTTCCAGAAATCCAAGTTTGCCAAATTGTTTCCTAAGTTTGCCTGTTCTGGAGGCTTGATATAATTTTTACATGCAGGAAGCAGCAGCAGCAGCAGCAGCAGCAGCAGAGAAATAAGGAAGTATATGAAATATAAATGTACAATGAATGTAGAGGAAGTATATACATGTGAGGCTTAACTCATGTTTATCGCATGTGTTGATGGGCATAAACACTATATTGTAATTATAGTGCTAGTAAAAAGAATTCAAATGCTCTAGTTTAAAATTGCTTATTAAGTCACATAACATTATCATGTATGTTTTTGTGTTATGTGGTTGATGCTGCATATGATGTGGTTTTAATTTCTTACCAAGGACCTTAGGATATGGTTATGATTATTGTTGTGAGCTACCAACAAATCAGCAATGTACGAATAATTTTTTCTGAATTGGTTCTTTGTTTTTTTGGATTTTTGGTTTGTGTGTTTTATGTTTTTTGGATTTTGCTGGACTGTGTATGTTATAATGTTTGAGTTCTTGGGCAACTGTTGAGAGTCCTGTGGGATTGCAATGGGGTATAATTGTAATACATGAATAAATAATAAATGAATAAATACAATTTCTTCATATGCCTTTTAGATGTTGCCATCCTAATATTCTACAGTTGTTGGGTTTCTGTGTAGAAAGTGGACTTCACTGCTTGATTTACCCCTACATGGAAAATGGATCACTGCTGGACAGGCTACAGTGTCAGGTAAACAACAAGGATGCATGTTCACATACCACATCTATCAAAAGGAAGCACTTCTGTCAGCTCAGCCAGCATGGGAAGAATTATGGGAGTTACATTCCAACTAACAACATTTGGAAAACCTGAGATTGCTTATTGTCATTGCAAAGATGGGGGAAAGGATGCCTTGGCTGCATCACTGGCAGGAAGGCAAAGGGCTAATGAGGGATCACTCACTCCCAAGTACAGGAACATCAGTTTGACTCTAGTTGTTGTTTAGCTTCGAGAATTTGCTTCCCTAACCCTTCCAAAAAGAATTTGGTTGCAGTGGTAACCCAGTGGATACTGTAGCTCTGTAACTCTAGTTGTGTTCAGACAACATGCTGTGCCAAAATACTTATATAAAATTGTGTGTGCTTGACTATATGACCCTGTTGAGTGTTGCTTTTTGGCTTATTCAGTTATCCTAACTCAGTATGGCTATCAATGAATTTCCTAAAGTATATAAGTAATATAGGTGATCCTTGCTTAATGACCACTCTTTCAACAACTGTTTGAACTTACAACAGCATTGAACGAGTGATACTTATGACCAGTCTTCAAAGTTCCAGCCATTGTAGCGTCCCCATGGTCATGAGATTGCCATTTGCAACCTTCACTGCAACCTTCCCCCAAAGTCAGTGGGGAAGCCAGCAAAAGGTTGGAAATGGCAACCATATGGCATTGCTCTTAACAACGTCCTGGGATTCGCTTAACAACAGCAACTGGAAGTGCCGAAACTGCCATGACTAAGCCGTGCAGTCATGTGACATCGCAGTTTATGACTGCGTCACTTAGCAATGGAAATTTTGGTCCCAGTTATTGTTGTTAACCAACTACTATGTGTATTTTATAAGTCACCTAGAGTTGTCATTGTGATTGAAATAGCCTGTGAGTTTAAATAAATAAGGAAGAAAGAAACTTTGATTAAGAAGTGTATACAATTGAGGGGTTGTACAATGAAGGGTTTGTCTTAGCGTGTTATTTTGAGGGCAGATTCTCTGGTATGTGGGCAGTGTATATTACATATCTGTACACAGACTGTATGTATGCAAATTGCTCAAAGTCTTTCCAAATGAAATGGAATATTGAAGGAGTGAATAAATAATATTACATTGGGTAGACAAAATCTTATTTCCAAGTGTTTCAAGAGTTAATCCATATTAATCTGTATTCTTGCTGAAAGTCATATAGAGGCTTTTTCCCCTGATTATTCACAGTCATCTCAGTCATAGATCTGTGAGCAGTAGGAGTGAGAGGAAAATGGGAATTGAAGTCTACCATATCCAAAGAATAACCAAATTGAGGAAGATTGTTATTAGATTTTAGATACTTCAGACATGTTTTTTTTTACCTGCTTGTGGGATCTGCCCAGGTATTGTAGTATCTGCCAGACATGGAAATCTATTTTACACAGTGAGACATGACATCAAACAATATATAATAATTTTAGTTAGCTTCAATATTTTTAGCTGTTGCTGTATAGATAGTTTTGATTTTTTTTTTCCCTAAGGGCCCAACAATACCATTTCCATATTCTGTAATTCTGTTTTGGAAGAAAGGATAAAAGCTTTTCGAGAGTCTGATGTCCTCCAAATATATTGAACTACAATTTCCATCCCCAGTCTTCATGGAGATGATGGTAGCTGCAGTCCAATATCAGGCTCAAGAATAAGTATCAGTCTCAAGAAGGCTGAAATACATGGCTGCAGAAGAGTATGTGAGAACTGTTCCCAATGCATTATTCCTTTTCTGCAACAAGAGAGTGTTATTATTCTCTGCTAAACAGTCATTATCTTTTCAGAGCCATTTTTCTTTCTGTTGCAGGATGGTTCTGAAGCATTAACCTGGGAGAAACGCACCAGAATATCTTTGGGACTAATTAAAGCCATTCAGCATTTACATCACTTTGGAATTATTCATGGGAATGTAAAAAGGTGGGGGATCTGTATTTAAAATAACATTTACTTCTTTATGCATCCATTATTTATTATTTAATGAACTACTTAAACTTTTATCTGATTAAAATGTGCTTTCATAGGAAAGGAGGAGTACAGCTAAACAACATCAGCATAGTGATGGCAATTAGCTCTACATTCATGCATGATACTTCCTAGCAACTTTGTGTAGATATTAAGTAACACAGGATATAATTGACCCATACTTCCCTCTACACACACACACTGCTAAGTTGGCCTTCATGACTAAAAAAAGAGAAAGCTAGCATATTTCCAATATTTCAAGCCAGAACAAATGTTTAGAAGTGATCCACAGTATCAGACAAGAAATCCTCAGGAGGCACAAAATTGTTAGTAATAAATGTAATCATTTCCTACCTGTTGAATCTACAGCACAGCTGTACCCTCAACTGGTTTTGGCTCTCTTTCCCCTATCATAAGTAGGATCAACTAAGGGCAGAATAACTAAAAGAGAGCATTTGAAGGAACAAATTAGTCTGTTCTTCTGTCCATTTATTCTGCCCACAAACATGCAGCCTCATTGTTTTACCTCCAGATGCATGTTTGTGAATACAAATTTTCAGAAGAAAGTAACTTGTCTGCCCTAATTAAGAAATTGCCTCTATAAATAACATATTGTTGGTTGACAATATTGGCATAATTTAGAATACCTTCTTAGCATTAACCTTTGTTAGAATTCAGAATTTTTGTATTAAAGATTTAGCTGCCATTTCTTACAGCTTAGACTTGCCTTTTCAGACCATGTTTTGGTCACACGTGGTTCTGGGAGACCCATTTCCTGTTTGTTTAACTGCTGTTTATATTTGAATAATGACTGTGGTGCTGTTATGTGACCTTTTGTTTATATTTTTGTCTCCTATGCAAACAGTTCCAATGTTTTGCTGGATGCAAACTTTGTGCCTCAGCTTGGACATTCTGGTCTTAGGTTGCATCCTGTGGAAAAGAAATCAGAATATACTGTGATAAAAACCAAAGTTTTGCAAGCTTCACTAGCTTATTTCCCAGAAGATTTTGTCAGGCATGGGCAGCTAACTGAAAAAGTGGACATATTTGCTTGTGGAATTGTAAGTTGTTGTTCTTCATGAATAATCTTATATAACCCTTATGCCAAGAGTCAGATATGTTTTCATTTAATTAAGTTTGATATCTTGCTGCCAGGATATAGATTAGTAAAATGTCAAGTTATTACTTCATAAAATTATGTTTGAGGACTGAAAATCTATGAATAAGCCCATATTTCCATGCCAGAGCACATTCTTTGCATGGCAGGCAAAACATTTGTGCTGGGTTCTATCTAGGTGTCTTGAGGAAAAAGGTGTTTGGATTATAAGACTAGGACCAACCTCTGGCTAAGACTGAAGAAAGAAGCTGCCTGTCAGCATAGGCAGTATCGGTCTCTATAGACTTGGTTAAAAGCTGGCTTGTATCTGATAGCAAGATCTTCTTCTATGATAGGACTGGATTGCACCTAGATATCACCTGATGAACTGTATAAATAGTCTGAAGGTCAGGATGCTCAGTTATCAAGTCTAAATTTTTAAAAAAAGTAATTGTAATTATTTTCCTAGGTTTTAGCAGAAATATTGACTGGCATGAAAGCAGTGGATGAAAGAAGAAAGCCTATTTTTCTGGTGTGTACAAAATATATTTTTGGTTATTTAAATGTTTGAAGAAAGGCCCTGAGAATGGGAATTCCTCAGGCTGGAGAATATAGTTTTTGAATCAGTGCTATTATTTCATGCAGATCACTTGTGCCACATGTACTATTTCTTGTCTACTAATAGGAATGAATCATCACTTCCAAAAACTTAGTCTTGCAGGTCCAAATGTCAGTTTTCCCAACATGATGCTATCCAGATATGTTGGACTTCAATTCCCACAAATATTTGACTATGTTTACTGGGGTTTATGGGAAATGAGATTTAAGATATTTTGAAGGCAGAATATTGGGAAGGCTGCTCTACACAGTGATTTGATTTTTTCAGAAAATTTTGACTTGGAAAATATCCAGAACATGGTTGTATACATTGTTACGTTTGATTTAATTGACTATGTTGATTTTGCTTCTGGGTAATAAATTAAATTAGCATACCATATTAATTTACATGCTTTCTAAATACTATGAATTTTTGTTCCTGCCTTGTCATATGTGGTGGTGATAGTAGGAGAATAAAACATCCTTAATGTGGTTCAAATTTTATATTTACTAATGTTCAAACAAATTCAGAAAATAATTCAAAAATTACTTGACCACACAGTATAATGTATGGTCTTTAACTGTTTAAAGAAAAAAAAAAAGCAGAAAATATTAATACTTTAGCACAGCCTTTCTCAGCTGGGGTTCTACGGAAGCCTAGAGTTCTGTGAGAGGTTGCTAGGGGTTCCAAGAGAGATCAAGGTTTTAAAAAATACTTTTTTTTTTTTTACTTTGCATGCCATGCAACATTAGTGGTGGGAATTTTTACACGCTGTAACTCAGCTGCCAGCCTGCCATTTTGCTGTTGTTATAAACATTATAAAACATGGATTGTGTAGGTTAGAAGTGAATTGCACTGTGAAGTTTATTTTTATTATTATTTTGCAATTTTTTGTAGGGGTTCCCTGAGTTCTGAAAATTATTTCAAGGGTTCCTCCAGGGTAAAATTATTGAGAAAGGCTGCTTCTAGCATGGCAGAGAACTATGTTTTAGATAAGACATCTTCTAGGCAAGACATTGACTTGAATTTCACTGGAGGACTGTAGAAGGTCACCATCTATCTGTAATTCCTTTTTTCTTCACTGCTAATTCTGCCTTTATTTTTGACTGAGATGGCTCTGTTTTGAAAAAGATATAGAAAAGTGGCATAATGTCCACAGTTCTAAATGCTCATAATTCTACTTTTCTTTTTTTAACAAATGACTCTCAGGGAGTGTAGAGGGTAAGCGGGGTAACCTTGACAGAAATATGCAGTAACTGTTACCTAGGCAAAGAGGGCTGAAACATTCTTTAAGTCCTGGGTAACAAGATAATGTTCAGAAGCAACTCAGGTCTCCCTGATTCACTGAGATATAAGAAGGAGGGGAAGTCTGCACAATCAGACTTGCAAGATTCTGTTTTATATCTCAATAAAGTATAGTTCTAGTCTTCCTGTGGAGTGGATTTTCTGGTTGGGTCTACCTAGCGGGGCTGATAGGCAGATAAACTTTTCATAGCACAGAACATTCAGTATCATTTTTGTAACAGGGCCATTTTATTTTAACCTTTATTTTCTAATTTGCATTCAAATGTCTTTTGCTGTTACTTTTTCAGAATAATCAAAATGAAATTATAGTAAGATACTCTTTAAAAAAGGTGCTATAGTATCTTGGGGGGGAAGAACAGTTCCAGTTAGAGACAATGATTTATGGCAATGCCCAGAAAAGGTTTTAAAAACATTTGTTATTCAACAACTATTATGTATAGTCCTATACCCCATGATATAATGAAAATAAATGCAAATCCTTCTGGTTATTATATTAACCACCTTGATATAATATAAGCAGTGGCTGGAAATGTTGTATTTTCCCATATTTTGCTGTTATTTCTTCTGTATCAAAATACTTTCCTTGTGATGCGCTTGTGCCTATTAACTATAGCTGTTTAAATTGTGAAATAACTCTGGAACAGACTTTTGAGTATTGTAGCATCACCCTGTTACAAAGAATGACAAAAAATTAGCCCCATTTTAGCTTTTCAACTCTTGTGATTTTGTCAACTATGCAAGTGTGTGAGGGTACGTGTGTGTATTCATGGGTGTATACACTCTGTCTCAACTATATGTAAATAAAGTATGACAATTTCAGCTTCATTATGTGATTGAACCATACAACTTCACAATTCTTCAAAGGACAGAGAAATTACATTGTTTACATTCTTCCAACCTTTTTCTTCAACAGAAGGATGCCTTGCTTGAAGAACTCAGAGTGGCAAAAGAATTGTCTTATGCTAAGGAGAGAAACTTTGAAAATCTTGCTGCCATGGAAATATGTCACAAATATCAAGATAAGCAAACAGTTTGCTTGCCGGAAACAACCGCTTTACGTTTGGCCGCTTCTGTCTGCATTTGCCTGCGGAAAAAGAATGCAGATGCAACAGAGGTAAATATAATCATTTTGCTAGTGGAGGTACCCTAGTCCTTGTCACTTAGTCCTTTTATTTTCCTTATTTTATTGTATGTAAGAGTCTGTTAGTAAATATAGAAAATAGGGAAATTGTTTTCTTTCAATGAGGAAAATAGAAACAATTTGTTTAACATTCTTGTCAAAAACAGGTGAATGAAATTATGGAAATTGCAGATTGTCAAACAAGGTCTCAGAACATGTCTGAAGGAAGCAGAAATCTTGGATTCTTCATCAATACTCCAGAAGAAACCAATGATGAACCAGCTAGTCCCTTCTGTGTTGACGTCTATGGTAATAACTATGAGGGTTGTGCCAATTCTGGATCTCTAAACTGTGCAACTGTGTTACCACCTTTTATAAAAGTTTTACCTCCTGAAACATACTCTGAGCAGATGTTACGGGTCCCTTGTGAGTCTGATGAATCATGTAACTTTTCATGGGACCCTGTAGAACATGCTGTCTGCTGTCCACCAACCAAAATCAATCTGGAGCCAGAAAATGGTTCTTTCACTAAGTCTGTGATGTTCACAGCAAAAAATACAGACTCTGACAGAAACACAAATCAACAGGAGAGAAAAAATGTTGGCGCTGCTTGTTCCTCACAAGGTAAAAGGTAATATTTAAATATTATTTGAGGTTGATAGAAATTAAAAATGTAGAAGGTTCTATGGGAAGTTTGATATAGCATCATAGAAATAACAATGACACACAGCTCTTTTTCTCCTCAGATCCAAGTGAGGAGAGTCTGAAACAATGCCTGCAATCAGCAGTAGATTAGAAAGGGTAAATAAGGTGAAGTAAATGGAAGTACAGTACTGTTTACTGGGAATATATTCATTCCAATATATACTAATACTTGTGCTGATGGGATAGCACTCATATTTAAAAACCTACATAGTGCTAGATGCTCAAATGGCAGATATAGTGAAGAATGCATTTTACCACCTTGGCTAGTTTGCCAGCTACATTATTTCATGATGATGCTTGTATTGGTGACATCCAGCTTAGATTTTAAAAGTGGTTGGAAATACCAGAATATGCCTGATAGAATTTTGATCAGAGCTGCAATGCAGAACATGTACTGCTAATTCTATAACAGTCTGGTAAATTGGTTGGTTTCCAGGTCTATTGATTGGGATTATATCCTGCCTTTCCTCTAAGAGCTCAAAGCAGCTTATTTGAGAGATTTCCGCTCATTTTATCCCAATCCTACATGTCAGGTTGAGTTGAGAGAAAGAGACTGGTACAAAGGCACCCAAGTCAGTTTCCATAGCTGAAAGTAGACTTTAACCTAGGTCTCACCAGTCCTACTCCACTACCTTAACCATTATACCACACAGACTTTAACTTAAAGTATTCATTCTGACTTTAAAATTCTAAACAGTTTGAGTCCTGAATACTCCAGGATCTGTCTGCTCCTATAAGCACCTGCACAGATCATAAGATTTCTGTGGCATCCTTGATCTGGTGTTTTTTCCCTGGTGGTTCTCAAGCATTGGAATTCTTCCCTTACAGGGGTCCCCTTTGCTTTTTGCATGATTTGGCTTTAAAAAGCAAACTAGGACCACTCTTTTTCCAGAAAGCTTTAACAGTCTTAAACTGGTCTTTTATGACAACTTCTGGATTCTTTTAATTGTTATGTTTGCATTTTTTAATATTTTGTCTTTATATGGTATTTAGTTTTGTGATGAATTTTTAAGCTGTTTTAGAAGTTGTGTTGAAAAGCATCCCATAAAAATTCTTAATGAAATGGAGCTGAAAGGACTTGAGGTTTCTTGGAGCTTCTTGTTAACATGCCTCTAATTCTCATTATTTCATATGTTTGCCATTCTATTTATTTTAAAGTTGCTGTTGTTGTTTAGTCGTTAAGTCGTGTCCGACTCTTCGTGACCCCATGAACCATA